TCATCCTCTAGGTGCTGGTAAACCCGCACCGTAGGGTTGTTCTTGGGATCCTTTCTTGCATCCACGTTTGGCGAGGCGTGGCGCCACTGGACGAATCGCAGCCCAGAGGCAATCAGTTGGTCTTCCCGTATTGAGGTGGTGCCTATTTGCCAGGTGTCGCCCAGGCGGCTGCAAAGCACAGGGTGCTGAATTCCTATTAAAGGCTCGCAGACCTCTTGGGCAACCCTTGCACTTGTCGGCAACATCAAGCTCCAGCAATGCGGGCTTGCCACCCCCGATCTCTCTGCTGCGCTCTGCGCTTGCCGAAAGTCCAGTGGACTATCCGGGCTTGTGGCTGCATATCCAAGACCGACCAGGAGTCCTTCCGGAAGGTCCAGATCAACGCTGGAGAGATCGCTGTATGTGGACTGCAACATGCGGGCGAACGGGGACACCGCCTTGACTTTATCCGGGCGGAACCAGCTACCACCTAGAGGCCTGTGGCCAACAGCGACGGCTGCTTCTTCGAGATCAGTGTGCCCAAAGCCTCGACCGTGGTGAAGGAGCGCGTGAAAGACCCCAGGGAATTCATGTGGCATATACCAGGTATTGGGGGCTCTCAGCCCAATGGGGGTTTGAGAAGGAGCGTGCGGTGAGCTCGTTGCCCGTCTGCCACTCCTCCAGGGCTCTGCCTGGGGTCTCCAAGCAGAGTCGAAAGAAGGCTCGGCGTGGGACTGCTGGCGCGAAAGCGGATTTCAAGTCCATGTCCTGCTGTGACTCTTCACTAATGAGCAGGTCTACATTCTCCATATGCGTGTTCAGGGTGGAATGGGTCTGCCCTTTTTGACCCCAGACCAGCCCGAGTGCCATTGGCCCAGTGGTAGAGTAGCAGAGGGTCTCTGCCCTTTGACCCTACTGCCGACCTTGCCCGCGCCACTGAGCAGTTAGCCAGCTCCCCTGGCTGCCTTCCGAGAGGTGGTCAGGGATGTTACAGTGTACAGTACACTAGCACTAGGAACAGCGGCGTTTCACCTTTTTGTTTCACCTAGTTCGTGGGGCTTGCATGATAGGCTGCACTCGGAAGCACTCGTGTGACCCAGGGCTGCAGCAGAACCTTCTTAGGCACAACTACCACACCACGCCTGCTCTCGCGCCTGAGCGACCTGCATGTTGGTCAAGGTTGAAAAGGCTGGTTCAGCTACTGTGAGACCAGGTCCGTTCCGTGTCATACTCATCATCGGAGCTGCCACCTGGTCTCTCGTGCCCCTCACCTCCCCCGCAGGGGGAGGTGGTGAATTGCTTGCTGCTGCTCTTACCCTCTCCTTGCCACCGCTTGCCTCATGCAAGTCTTCGTAGTGTCCTCTTTTTGGTTTTCCGTCTTGCGACTTACCTGGCAATCCTTGCAAGCCTCAATTGCACGTCAAGTGGAATATTTGCAGGGACTGTTGTGAGAGGTCAGGCATCAATCCTGAACCTCCTGCCACTTCTCGCTTGTCCAGGGTCTTTGCTCCACATGGCTGCGAGGCTGCAATGCCCGTTGTCACTCCTGCCTTGATCCCCGACAGGTATCCCAGGCTGCGCAATGACCAAGCCAAGGACACGAGCAGATTGAAATTTTGTCCCGCATGCGTGAGGAGTTCTCAACACTGAATTGGTCACCTTGAAATTACTCACATGGTCTATGGCGCGTACGCATTCTTTGACACAAGTTGCGTCGTGCCCAGCTTCGAATGGACCTAAAAAGAACTTGATTTGAACCTCACTCTTGCTTTCAGTCTCGCTCATGCATACTGATACGCATTGCATCTCCTGTGGAATACCTGCCAGCCAACAAGCAGAATGCAGTTTCGTCCGGGACGTCCTGTACTGAGAGCAGCTTGAAAGGAATTCATCGCCCCGTTTCACTCCTGTGTTAGGTCTTCGGATCTGCACCTTTTGCTTTTCCACGTCTTGAGCGGACATGAGCCTGATCTGCTTGGTTTTTGTGGGTGGTTTGGGTTTGTTTTGGTGCTTTGTTGTTGGGTTGTGGGTGTTTTTGGTCCTTTTGGTTCCTTTGCTTCCTTTGCTCAGGCTCATTTCCTCGCACCCCTCATGTGAATTCATCACGGTGACTTGTGCCTCTCGGCGCACATAGCGCCCTTACCCGTGCAAAAAAAATTTGATCCCAGACCAGCCCACGGTTCCATAGTAGTAGCAGCAGTAGCAGTAGCAGTAGCAGTAGTAGTAGTAGTAGAAGTAGTAGTAGTAGTAGTAGAAGTAGTAGTAGTAGTAGCAGTAGTAGTAGTAGTGGTAGTAGTAGTGGTAGTAGTAGTGCTAGTAGTAGTAGTAGTAGTAGTCGTAGTCGTAGTCGTAGTAGTAGTAGTAGAAGTAGTAGTAGTAGTAGTAGTAGTTAGCAGTCGTAGTAGTAGTAGTAGTAGTAGTGGTAGTAGTAGTAGTAGTAGTAGTAGTCGTGGTAGTAGTAGTAGTAGTAGTAGTAGTAGTAGTAGTAGTAGTAGTAAGTAGTAGTAGTGAGTAGTTGTAAGTAGTAGTGAGTAGTAGTAAGTAGTAGTGAGTAGTAGTAAGTAATAGTGAGTAGTAGTAAGTAGTAGTGAGTAGTAGTAAGTAGTAAGTAGTAAGTAGTAAGTAGTAAGTAGTAAGTAG